AGCTGTGTTAATTAAACGCACAAGGGGTTCTTGAATGAAATAATATTATAAAAGGCAAACCAGAATTGTTAACGCCCAATATACTCCTTAAACAAAATAAACAGAGTCAGATTTCATGCATTGATCCATTATATTGACAAAGGAGGATCTCACCCGGTGTTTGTAGAGAATATCTCTCTTTCTGAGAAACATTTACATTTTACATTTAAATCCCGCTCATGCGCAATTCATTTGCCGTCTCGACGCGGGAGAGTGTGGCTGTCTCCTCTCTGCTCTGACTGCAGCTGAGCTGCTGCGGAGTGAGCGCCTGTGAGTACTATGGGAGGGCAGAGGGGCTCACGGCAGCACCCGCGGCTCGTTAACTGCTGAACAATATGTGAGTCTCCAAACACCAGAAAAGTCCCTAATAACACCATTACAAGTCGTTAAATTAGTCGTTAGTCGCTTTTGACAAAAATAAGTAGCCAGAGGGTTTGGAAAGCCGCCGAATTTAACGAGAAAGTCGCCAAGTTGGCAACACTGGAAGGGTAGCCATGGCAACATTGAGGCGGGGCTGCTGGGCTCTGCTCTTCTTCGCTGCTTTTGGTGTATTTTGGCGGAAGTTACAGCGCCACTTACAGTCCCAGAATATGTACTACAGCGTTTCCAGCGGCCTCGTTTGAACAGACACGTTAAATGAAACAAATGCATGTGAACGGAAGACTTTTTTGAATACGCATACTGTGCATAAACGCAAACGGTCCCGTGTGAGCGGGGCCTTAGGCCCCGGCTCCACGAGGACAAATACGGCAAAACGCATCGGAGTAACGCAAATGCAACCGCAAAAAACCTTCCGTCCCCACGCAATATACACCGGATTGTGTCAAGCTCCACGAGACAGCTCCGTTTACATCCAAACGCTGGAAAAGCTGCAGTACATATGCCGAGCCTGTACGTGGCGCTGTAACTTCCTCCACAAAAGCAGCAACTTCCTCCACAAAAGCAGCGAAGAAGAATGGTTGTCATGGCTGCACTTTCGCCGGTCAGCGTGTGTTAAAGTTTAAATCTTCCGGACAAAATTATAAAAGTGCCGGTTAAAGGTCTTCATTGTTATTTATTGAGCTTTAAAACAAATGAATAACGACGATATAATCATCAAATACACGGAGGCTGTCTCTCTTCCCTCTCTTCTGACAGCGTCAGTGTCTGTCTCATGCAGCAGCTGATCCAGTAATGAGTGACCCGACAGTAAAAATGAACATATTTATAACTAGTTTAGGTAGTTTGAGAGGTAATTAAAATAGCTAAGGGTGATGATCTGACTTGAAGTGTGTGTTTTGCTCCCGCTGCATCACAGCGGCAGGAGCTGCGTGTCTCCGTCCTGTCAGATTAGACTTCACTCGCGTTTATGTCCATATCGAGATAAAGATAAATAATCTGAATTCAAGGAGGAGCTCCTGTAGATGTTGCACAAAGAACTGTAGCATGGTCAGTAGCGACTGGAGCACGATAGCAACCCTGCGGGGGAGAGGCGGGGCTATGAAAACGAATGACCGTATAGGCGACTCCACGGCCCCGTTGGACCCCCCAGAGCGCTCCGTTCCCAGATCTATCCACCTTTGGACCCGTTGTCGTTTGCGGGGTCTGTTTCTACGTTTCCCTTACGGCGTCGTCGAGCTTAGAGGGCTATACGCATGAGAAATATGCGGATTCAACCCGTTTTCGTCCTCGTGGAGCCGGGGCCTTAGTCTCCAGCTTCTTCCTGTAGGAATCTCTGCCCCTTCTCAAATTGTCTCTCAGCTCATGCTGTATACTCTTCAGCATTGATTTGTCCCCAGACTTAAAAGCTTCCTTTTTCTTATTTAAAAGAATTTTCAGGTCACTAGTAATCCAGGGTTTATTGTTGGGGAAACAGTTGACAGTTTTAGCCGGTAATATTGTTTGTTCACAGAAGTTGATGTATTCTGTGATGCAGTCAGTCATGTTATTGATGTCCTCTCCATGTGGCACACAAAGCACGTCCCAGTCAGTGGTCTCGAAGCAGTCCTGTAGAGCCTCATTAGCCCCTGTCCATTTCCTCACAGTCCTGGTGGATACAGGCTGCCTCTGCACCAGAGGGACATATTTAGGAGCCAAAAAGACGAGGTTGTGGTCAGATCTGCCCAGGGGGGGGAGGGCAGTGGCACAATATGCATTCTTGGTATTAGCATATAAAAGATCCAGAGTATTATTTCCCCTGGTGGGGCATTTCACATACTGAGTGAATGTAGGCAGAGATTTGTCCAGTTTTGCACGGTTAAAATCCCCAGTTATGTTTCGTGCAGAAGGCAACGGAGGGACTATTTTATTTTGAACATCATTATTTACTAATAAAAACGATTTAAATTAGAGTGTGTATTTTTCTTTCATATTGCCACACTTGGTAACCGTTTTACCTTCGCGGGCCGAACCACGCCCCTTAGCTGTGATATAATGAGCATATACCACGGCCTGTCGTGAGCTATTGCTTAAGTAGCCAATTCACGTATTCTTTCAGAGTTTCCCTCGGTTCCAGGGTATTCTAGAAGGCCTGTCAGTTCACTGGCTCGAGACTCGAGACAGAGGATCTAGATAAATGCCACTTAGCAATTCATTTGCCGTTTTATTGTTTTTAACGTTGAAATGGCAACAGGTGAAGATGATGTTGTTGCGGAATTGTTGTCAGTACCCTTTTCAAGACGACAATTCAGTGAAAAGACGGACATTATAACGGTGGCGGGGGGGGCGGCGGCGTGGGTGTGTGTGTGTGTGTGTCTACAGAAGGTCCAGTTGTGATAGACACGGTTCCCCACTGACACCAACTATATAATAAGTACCTTGTTCATACAAAAAAAAAAGAAGAAAAAAAAAGATTGTAGGCCTATTTAAAAATACAAATATTTTTTTATGACAATCTAGAATGTGGGAAGAGGTGGGGCGGCCGCCACCGTCTGGGTCCTCATTTCAGGGGCGGACTGGGACTAAAAATCAGCCCGGGAAACTCGACTGGCCAACCGGTAGCGTAAGTCATACGCTCAAATGAACTCTTTATTGTAAGATTTTCTGAAATGTTAAGACGAACATGTTGTTTTTGTGAGAACATATTTAAATGTTTTCCCTAACTCACACGTTTTTGAACATGTAGCACGCCCCCCAACATGTAGCACTTTTCATTATAATTGTTATCTTGCTGATTTAGGTGGATGGTAAACAAAATGTGCACTACTAAAGCAGTATCAGGTTGAACTCGTGATTTTATTTCTTTATTATTGTATTTATTATCTACTGACAGGGCCGGTCTTGACCAATTTGCAGCCTCATGGGCAACATTTTAGCTGGAGGAATCCAGTTTGTTGGTTTTTGCCGCTCTTTACAATAATTCCAACAGAGGGAGCTGTCTACATTTAAATTGGAGTTGAAGAGAGAAGAGAAGTATATGTGACCATTAAGAGATGCATAAGCATAATGGAAATCAGATTACAGGTGCATCTAAAACAATTATTAGGATATAATGGAATATATTGCCTCCATACCACGTCTACTTGATGACATTTATGTATTATAAATCATTTTTTGATTGGTCTTATGTAGGGTTGCAAAATTCCGGGAATTTTCAAAGATGGAAACTTTCCATGGGAATAAACGGGAATTAAAGGGAATTTATGGGAATAAACTGGGAATTTTCTAAATTGAAGGTTGGCTCTTCATAGGGAACTTAAATATAGTTGGGGAAAGTATATTTTAGCATAATCTTGACTAAAACAAACAGATGCCATTCAAGTACACTTGAATATCCATGCCATAGCACACTGCTTACTGCATGGCTATTGAGACCACACAAAGGTTCGCAGCAGGCTCACAAATGTGAGAGTGGAAAAACTGGTTGGCATTCGGCAAACCTAAGGCTCTTTGAGCCTGACACAGAGCCATCCTCAACAAGGCTGGACAGTGACACTTGAAGAGGAAGACTCAGAGTGTGATGTTGATGAGGCCCAGGAAGAGCCCATTGACTGAAAGGGTTTAGCAAAAATGCAGAGGATTGCTTGAAGGAAGATGTGCATGTTTAACGGGACTTTTTGGAGGGAGAAGGGCTCTTTTCATTTAACATTTTAAATGGGACTTTGTGGGGATTTTTGGATGGGGGTGCATTTTTGTTCATTTTTTAATGAGTGGGGATGAGTAATATTTAACTCAACATTCCTGTTTTCGTTCTTCAATGAAACAAATAATTGTTCAATAAAATAATTAAAACTTGTTCTTGTCTACTTGTTCTATTAAAAAAAATAGAATCTGTTGAAATGTCATGTTTTTTGTTTAATTTTGCATCGAATATTTCCAAAATTCCCCAGTTTATTAATTTCCCATGGAAACTTTCCGGAAATGTTCCGCCCCTTTGCAACCCTAGTCTTATGTAATATTATACTATTTCTGAGATACAGGATTATGAGCTGTAAACCGTAATCATAAAAATTAAAACAAAAATAGGCGTGAAAATATTTCACTTTATGCGCAAATCTAATTTTTTTTTTAGATGCACCTGTAAGTTTAGTTGATTGTCATTACAATAAAATGCAGTTTAGAATCCGACCAGAGTGACAAGGAGCAGTAAAGTGTAATATAGCATATCAAAGATAAAGGAAAGTTAATGCACAGATGACAAATGTACCCTTGACAGTCTCACGTTTCTAGTGACGTATGTTCCTTTACCAGTCAAATGTATCGTAAGTCCTTTCTCACCACACACAGAAAAGTGTGTGTGTATGTGTGTGTGTGTGTGTGTGTGTGTGTGTGTGTGTGTGTGTGTGTGTGTGTGTGTGTGTGTGTGTGTGTGTGTGTGTGTGTGTGGTGTGTGGTGTGTGTGGTGTGGTGTGTGTGTGTGTGTGTGTGTGTGTGTGTGTGTGTGTGTGTGTGTGTGTGTGTGTGTGTGTGTGTGTGTGTGTGTGTGTGTGTGTGGCGTGTTTTCTGAGTATGAGTTGGTTCAGCCCCTTAGAATAAATGAGCTTGCTTCCTGAACGTGCAAAACGAAAGTCTGAGGGAAACAAGTGCACATGGTGAGAAGACTGAAGGAACAGCACAGCACAAACAGCAAAGGTAATACATGTGAGAAAGGAAGGGAATAGAGCTGAATTACCAAACTAATTATACTCCTAAAATATCCACACAAAAGAAAAAAGGATACTTTAACTACTGTGTTTTTTCATTTCCTTTGATATGGTGTGTATGCAGGGCAGCATGAGCCAGTGGAAGCAGATCCAGCAGCTGGAGATCAGACTCCTGGAGCATGTGGACTACCTGTATGATGATAACTTCCCCATGGACATCAGGCAGGGTCTGTCCAGCTGGATCGAGACTCAGGATTGGTGAGTCCTGCTCCTGTATGTATGTTTTAAAAATGTTTAGCTTTCAGTTAACAGCCTTTACTGTCATTAATATCTTGCAGTCTGAATGTCGAAAAACACTAAAACTTAACCTGTCCAGCACCAGCAGACAAACACAGTTTATAAGGTCATAATATGCCCCATCATCTGTTTTCAGCTTGTTATCCTGCCCCGAGTTGGGGGAAAAAATAAAGAATGCAGCTTTAAAATATGATTAGTTTGTCCTTAACTTTCCAAATGGAAAACACCTGCACTCTGTCAAGAAGAAAACTCTTGATGGACTTTTTTTAGTCTTTTTGTGGTCCTTCTCTGTCTCTTAGTTATTTTGAGTCTCTATAGTTAGTTTGTGCAATTTCATGGTCTATTTTCGTCTCTTTGTCGTCATGTTTGCATTACCTTGTAGTTTTTTGCATCTCCAAGTGGCCATTGTGCGTCTCTGTAGCTCTTTGTGTTCCTTTGCATCTGTGCCCTTTTATTGGTTGTTTAATCATTGAGGTCATATGATTGATTTCCAATGATAATAATAATAATAATAATAATAATACATTTGATTTGTAAAGCACCTTTCATTGCTAAAAGTAATCCCAAAGTGCTACAAGGGCATAATATACCTTTAAAAAAACAACAACTTAAAAACAGCTTTTTGTAGGCCCTTCTTAATAGAGTCAGTGGCCTTAGGAGCCCTCCGGTGGTCTGGGAGGATTCCACAGGTGAGGAGCGGCTGAACAGAAAGCCCCTGGGTCCTGGGGGGGGGGGCGAAGCAGATGGTTGGTTGTAGAACGGAGGTTGCATGTGGAGGTTTGTGGTGAGAGTAGTTCCTTGAGGTAGGAAGGAGAGTTCCCGTGGATGCACTGATGGGTGAGTAGTGAGATCTTGTTTTTGATCCTGAATGAGACAGGAAGCCAGTGGAGCGAGTGAAGAATGGGTGTGATGTGATTGTATTTTCTCCCCCTCATCAGGATCCTAGCGGCACTGATGAATATGTATCACTTCACAGGTTGGAGTCCAGGGGCCGACCTGACCCCCCTTAGACAGTCTTCATCACAGAACAACCAACTGGGCTCACTCGACTGTTACCTCCTTTCATAATCTCTGTGTAGTGGAGTCTTACATTTCTATACAGTTTGGATACTAACACTGTGTATGAACTTGTACTTCATACAATGGCCCACCTGCAGAGTTGCTTTCTCAAGTTTCCTGTTTAGAATGTGTAACTCCAGCCATCTTCTTCATAGCTTTAGCTGGGAATCTTTTGTCTGTTCTTCAGGGACACAGCAGCCAACGAGGAGTCCATGGCGGGGGTTCTGTTCACCAACCTTCTGTCCCAGCTGGATCGAGTGCGCTCACAGGAGCAGAACTTCTTACAGAGACACAACATGAAGATCATACAACAGCAGCTACAGGTGTGTCACCTTCTTTATGGCCTAGTTATGTCACATTCACAGCTCCCTTCATTTAAACAGAGGCTTTATTTTCACTTGTTTTCACACCTAACCAACGCCTTTTCAAAGTTGCTTCACTGCGGTAATAATTGCACAATACAATCATTTGTTTACTTCCTAGTTTAAACTGTAGCTTGCCCACCGTGGAAGCTGAGATAATAATAAAAAAAGCGAATCAAATGTCAAAAGATCCATGGTGTTGCAGTATCTTGGTGACAGAGGCAAAAACCCCAGCACCATATACTGTCTCTGTCATTTCTCAAAGTCAACTTTATTGTTAATTCCTCTATTTGTGTTACACAGAATCATTTTTCTCACCATCCCAGAGAATAGAAAATATAATATAAAAAGAAATATAAAATACATACACACCTTTTCACCTACTATATATATATATATATATATATATATATATATATATATATATATATATATATATATATATATATGTACAAATACATAGACACAAATATACATATACACACATTTAGAGGGGGGGCCTGCTCTCTCCAGTTCTGTATGTCTGCATAAGTTGACTTATGGTATTTGCTTATTTGGCTGTATACAAATTCTGCGTTCGTCTCCTGTCGGGTCATTTTCTTCATTATCATAACAACATAAAGCATTTTAATTTGAGGTGACAATACTAAAAGGTTGCTTTTACATGAATATGCTCATGTATGCCATTACCCAAAGTAAAAGTAAAAGTTGATTTCATGGTGGAATTAACTTCATCAAAACGCTGAGCATACTCACTTTCAGTAGTTGATTATAAAATGTCTCCAATAAGAAGAAGTGTTTTTTTTGGTCTATGGTGTGTGTATGCTGGAGGTGAAAGGGAAGTGAAAAAAGAAGTCACTCTGAATGTGTAACTTGTTTCTGTGTGTGCTGTTGTTGCTTTTCCTGAGAGCAGCTTCTGTTTTGGCCGTTCCAATATCAAATGGAGTTAAGAAGGACAGAAACGACTTTATGGAATTGAAATACAATTAAAGACATTCTTTTACAAATGATGCACTGACCGCTGGCTGAAATACTTGTACTCAGCATAATAATGGTGTGTTTGTGAAAAACACCTTCCCTTCTCTTCTTTGATGTGAGTTTTTGGTCCAGGCGCTTTACAGGATGTTGTGGTCAGAGCTCACCGACGTCATGAGCCTCAGCTCACATTTTATTCTGGAAAATAAATATACCTTTGCAGAACAAACCCATGAGGCTCATACCGCTGTTTCCTGTGTGTCTCAATGTGTCGCAGTCAATACTTCTCAGCGGAAGCAGCTACTCATGTGAAGAGTGCAGGCGGTTGTTGTTGTGATGTACGATTGTGTTTTAATCCCTCTTTAGTTTGACTGACCTATAACCCACATGTAAGCAGGCTCCCTAAGGAAAGCCCCTTGTAGCTTGATCTCTTACTGATGATCACCAGAAATACAAGACCATTTCTGCACTCTTTTCAGGATCACATTTTTTAGCTAAGTAATGCAGGGGGACAAAAAAGAGAAGTGAGCTTGAAAATACCAGAAACCAAACTACCTGCTTATAAATAATAAAAGACATAAACAAAAGTGAGTGTAGGTGTGTGTTCATGCAGCTCAGTCATCAGTCTGGCAATGATGCGGATTAATTCAAACTTTCTCACACCTGGAGGCGAGAAAAAAACATTCCTCTTCCCACAGCAGGATGTTTGGTACTTTGGTACGTAGGCTTTTGAACGGGCTCATGAGCAAACCAATGCCACACTCTTTATAAGAATCTGAGTCATGTGGTGAGATAGAAGGCAGGAGTCGTGTCTGCTCCATATCAAAGATGTATTTGTTTATGTAATTTGTTTCCGTTACAGGTTTTATAACGCCCTTTGAAACAACTTATTATATTGCAAGTATGTGTCACACCTTTGGCTCTAAGCCTTTACTTTGATTCGGATGGAGGGTTGGTCCAGAGACAGGCTGAACTTCATTCCTTTTCTGATTGTATGATAAGTAATCTCTGAGGATACTGCACAGGCGCTTGGTTTTTCTGGATGGCAAAGATAAACATACACTGTGAAAATTGACTGTCAGTATTACCCTGCTGCCGGTTCTTGTAGGGCGTTTTCTATGCTTACATTAACGACATCTAAGACTGTGAGTGTAATTATCTTTGTGTGTGTGTGTGTCCCCAGGTGAAATACACATCAAACCCCACGGTCATGGCCCGGGTGATCTCCACCTGCCTGAGGGAGGAGCGGCGGATCCTCTCCAGCGCCTGCATGCAGGAACAGGTTTGTGGTTTGTTTCTGAGAGGGAAAGTCCCTCCAGTTCCTTCATCACGTCTGCTGCTGGGAAACCAGAGCTGCTGCCAGGAAAACACTGCTGCAAACTACACACCCACACATTCCCAACTGCTTCACCCTCTTCCCAAGAAACACTGCTGCATGACATAATACTTCTGTTCCTTTACTTATGAACGTGCTGAAAAATCAAGATAGCATTTTAATATTCAAGGAAGGCTGTTGTAAAACAAAATGAACAGGTTGATGACGATTTTTGTCATAAAACTTTATTCAGCAAAAATAAAAAGATTATTATACACTTCTGTGTAGTCCACTGAGTACACTATGTACTTCCTGTCACAGTGCATGAACTTCTACATGGCTGTTTTACTAACTCAGAAATGACAATCTCTTTTCCTCTTTACTATCATGGCCTGAACGTAAACGTACCAGAAAAGGCATTACCGCCATCTTTTGATTCAACACTCAAAGATTCAATAGCTCCTCCAACAGTGCAGCATACATTACATAAGACATACAACTAAATATAAAAAGTGCAAGAAGAAACTGCAATAAAACAGTGCATGACAATGGTACACGCGACCCTGGGAGGTAACTGGATCAAGTCCCGGAAAAGTACTTCCTAGGTGCCCTTGAGCTAGGCTCCCAACTGCTCCACGGTAAATGGTAAATGGACTGTATAAGTAGAGTCCATTTACCATTCCAGCGTTTCACTCTCACCATTTCACCGCTAAGAGTACCTGGATGCAATGGATGAAAACACTACAAGTACAGAGGAAACCATATTGAGACACAGCACAAGATGGTGATAACGGTAATATGCATTGTCATTGTGATAATGTTAGCATGAGTGCAGCCTCACAGAGCTGCTAGGCTGGGTGTAGACTGTTCCATGCTGCTTTGTGCTTACGTTTGAAGTACAGGCCATGTCATCAGATGTGTTCTGGGAGCAAAGTGTTATCCTGAATCCTTGATTACAAGAATAAATATAAGTGATTGAAGAACAGATTAGGCCTATGTTTGAAATAAATCTTTCAAAACACATTCAGAAGAAAATAATGCTCTCCAACAGGGTCCACTGGAGAGATCACTGCAGAACTCTGTGGCCTTCGAGAGGCAGAAGAACATGGACAACAGAGTGGCCATCATCAGGGGCAGCGTGCAGGTAACTGACACACACATGTTTCAGGCAACATCAGAGCAAATATAAAGTTCACCCAATGGACTGATCTTTAAATGTCTGCCTGTCTGTGTGCAGCTGATGGACCAGGCTGTCAAATCCATCGAGGACATGCAGGATGATTTCGATTTCCGCTACAAGACCCTGCAGGCACGAGGTGGTCCCTGTGAAAGCAAACTTAATCTTACTTCAGTGCATTAAAATAACACAGCGTGCACCACAATCATTTTTTCTCTAAAATATCTGTCGTTGCGTGTGTGTGTGTGTGTGTGTGTGTGTGTGTGTGTGTGTGTGTGTGTGTGTGTGTGTGTGTGTGTGTGTGTGTGTGTGTGTGTGTCATAGAATCATCAGATGCTCGACAGAACCCTGAGATGATGAAACAGGAAGTAACGACCCTGCAGGCTATGCTTAACAGTCTGGACTTTAAAAGGAAGGTATGCATGCGTATCAATGTGTATCAATGTGTATCAATGCGTATCAATGTGTATCAATGTGTATCAATGTGTATCAATGCGTATCAATGTGTATCAATGTGTATCAATGTGTATCAATGCGTATCAATGTGTATCAATGTGTATCAATGTGTATCAATGTGTATCAATGCGTATCAATGTGTATCAATGTGTATCAATGTGTATCAAAATGTCTCCAACATAGAAAGCAAGAAAAATGCTTTCCAGTGTACAAATAAAGGATTGTATAATTTACAACAAGTATGGCAAGGCAAAGCGACTTTCTTTAGATAGAACACTTTAAGTCCACTAAAAATGCTTTACAAAAGACGGTGCTACAACAAAGTGCAAAATAAATGCCTTAGTTAAAATGATTCTGCAAAAAACAAACAAGCTTAAGTAAAATAAGACAGATTTAGAATACAATATAAAAGTTGAATAGATAAACGATTTGAATAGTTATTTGATGTAATAAAAGGCAACAGCAAATAGAGAAGTCTTTAGCCTTGATTTAAAACAAGTGAGAGACGCAGCAGTATTTGATTGTAAAGCATTTCAAGCATCACAGCGGTCTTTCCTTACCTTTGTCAGGAGATCTTGTCAAAGATGGACGATGTGATCAAGGAGATTGAAGACCTGATGAGCTCTCAGCTCAACCCGGAGCTGCAGGACTGGAAGCGCCGGCAGCAGATCGCCGCCATCGGGGGGCCGCAGCTCACCGGGCTGGAGCAGCTGCACAGCTGGTGAGGACTTCTATAGGATTATTACGTGTACTCTAATATAGGTACATGGCCTAACATGCATTGTAATGTATTATAAGAACATGTTTGCTTTTAAAGCTGAATCAATCTCTTTATAGACATTAATGATGAACTTTTATAAAAAAATCTAATGTGTAAATATTCTCTGTAAGCTACCACTAGTCAACCTACAATATTGTCGCAATATCGATTTACAGATACTTGTTTAAAAATATTGTGATATTTGATATAATTCACCTAGCCCTAGGTAAGATTCATGATGTGTTTTAAACGGAGGAATAGTTTGCACCTGTGTTCGTATAATGATGAATCCCTTTTAACCTGTGAATTGATTGTGTGTGCCAGTTGATCCTAAATAACATGTCAATATCCCAATCTCTACTGAAGGCCGTGTGCACAAACACAAGTTGAACGTTAAAAATCCTTCAGTAGTTCTGAAGTGGAGCCTCTGGAGGAACTGAAGGCCAAACAACATTTATATTTATTACTAGCTGTAGTGATTAAAAAAGAACACAAAAAAGGTGCCCTGAAATACTTGTTCAGTAATGAAAATAATTAAATGAACCTATATTATTGTAATCCAAGTCCTATTTAACTGTGGAATTGAAGAAACCGCAATAGCCAATTATTTTGCATTTCAGCACTTAAATGTGTGTAAGCGTGATCTTAAGTGTGTGTAGATAATGCTACTTAAAGGTCCCATGTCATGGCCATTTCTACTGATCATAATTCCATTGTTGAGGTATACTAGAATAGATTTACATTGTGCAATGTTCCAAACTCACATTGGTTTCTCATACAGCATCTCTGTATAGTATGTGTATTCACTCTCTGTCCTAAACGGCTTGTTGGAGCTCCTGCCACCCCCCCCCCCCCCCCCCCCCCCCCTCCCTGTGAGCCCACTGTGCTCTGATTGGTCAGCTCCTCCACTCTGTTCTGATGAGTCCACCACCGTTACAGCGGAACATCAGTGATTATGTGTTACAATGGCGTTTGTTAGCAACCAGGAAATGACACCAGTAATGACAAACAGATGAGAATGCTGCGTGGGGTCTGGGTGCCGTGTTGGCGGGACGTTGCAGGGCTCGCTGCTGTGAGTGACAGTGTGAGCTGGGTTCATTTCCTGCTTGCTGCGTGGGATCTGCGAGACAGCGAGACATTGCGAATGGACGCGGGAAGGGGGGGGTGCTAATGGGGCTGCAGCACCCCATCTGCGAGGCTCCACTAGCACCCGCACCCGCACCCGCACCCCCCCCCCCCCTGCACCCCCAAACGCGGCGCACCTACAGTGTAACCCCTCGATTCCACCGGGTCCGTCTGCGCCGCGTTACGGCTGCGCCGCGGTTTTGGTCCGGCCTCCTCCGGCGTCATACCCTACCAGGCGCGTTTCAGAAGCATTTCAGAAGCGGAGCGTCTTGCCTGCCGGCTCTCAGTTTTTGTTGATTTGGGCATATTTCCTGGACAGGCTACTTTGTACAGACAAAGTTAATAATAACTGTAATATTCCAGTTATAAACGACATGAATCAAAGATGTGTTGCTGTATTTTAGTGGTAAAAAAATGCATTCATCATCATAATTATTCTATATATATAATTTACACAGTGCCTGTAAACCGGAGGAGAACGCTGGCATTTCTCCTCCTACTTGAAAGACTACGGAGGGATAGGGTCTGCAAATTAGTTTATTTTGGGGATGGGCCGGATGCTCTGACCGTTCCATTTCCTGCCTGGCGCCTCTGCAACGAAAAATAGACTTGAATCCTATTTCGAGCGGAGCCCAGCGCCGAGACGCTTCTGGGACGCTTCTGAGCCGTAACGCGGCGCGTCTGGTGGAATAGCACCCGCAGACGGACCCGGTGGAATCTAGGGGTAAGCGTGCCACAGTTTCCACTAGCACGACTATAACGATTCATGTCTAATGACCGAAACATTGTTCTTTAGGTATCGGTTGTAATTTCATACTTAGCCAGAATAGCTTCTTTGACTTGTCCATAGTCTAAGGCAGGGGTCGGCAACCCCTGGCACGCGCAGGGCCGCCCCTCCCTACAGGCCGATCACGCAGACAGCATGGGGCCTCACCTCGCGGAGGGGGCCTCAGCTTGCGGAGGGTGCTTCACTTTGCAGAGAGTGCTTCATTTTGCGGAGGGTGCTTCATTTTGCAGAGAGTGCTTCATTTTGCAGAGAGTGCTTCATTTTGCGGAGGGTGCTTCATTTTGATTCATCTGAAGTGCAAATGCGCTTCTCGGACGCTTCTGGGACACTTCTAGCCTTAACGCGGCGCGTCTGGTGGAATAGCACCTATTGACTAGAGTGGCCGCGATCGTTGTGAACGCCGCGGCGCAGCCGTAACGCGGCGCAGCCGTAACGCGGCGCAGCCGTAACGCGGCGCAGCCGTAACGCGGCGCAGACGGACCCGGTGGAATCTAGGGGTAAGCGCGCCACAGTTTCGCCGCTGCGAGGCTCCACTAGCATCCCCCCGTCGACGCTCGCGACACAGAGGGCCTCATCATATAACTTTGCGTGGGGCCACAAGTTGGCCAGGGACGGCCCTGGGCGTTACCTGCAGAAGGAAGCCATGCACGCAACGCAGCCCCGCTCTCTTTAACTCCAGTCGACTAGCTGCTGCTTTCCTTCATGGTGAAACGATAAGATAAGATAAGATAAGATAAGATAAGATAAGATAAGATAAGATAAGATAAGATAAGATAAGATAAGATAAGATAAGATAAGATAAGATAAGATAAGATGGTACTTTATTGATCCCAATTTGGGAAATAGTTTTTGTTGCAGCAGCATAAAAGACAAGGCATTTTACAATAAAACAAAACTAGAAATAAACAAGAATAGAAAATAGAAAATATATATGTTGAAATAGAAAATATACATGTTGAATTTGACAAGATATTATATATACAAATATATATATACATAAATATATGACATGGAATATTAATATTAAATATTGAGCAGATTATATATGTGTAAAATGTATAACGTGGTTTTATTTCTAGAGAAACTATGGAGCAGAGAGTTCTCTTCCAGCCAGAGGTGATTTGTTGTACAGTGTTATTGCAGTGGGCAGGAATGTTTTCCAGTATCTGTCCTTGAGACAGGGGAGCTGCAGCAGTCTGTTGGAGAAGGAGCTCCGTTGACTGTCCAGCTGCAGGTGGAGAGGATGGGTGGGGTTATCCATGATGGACAACAGCCTGTTTAGTGTCCTCCTCTCCACCACAGCTTCAAAGGGGTGTAGTGTAGTGCAGTGCTGCCGGAGCGCGCCCGCACTTCATCAATTGCAGTTGGCTACCCATAAGGAGCTGTACAAATGCCGCAGTTTTTGCGTGCCTGTGTCTTTAGTTGAAAGCCCAGTGGCGATCTGCTCATCTCTCATCGAAAATAATATGCTACACTGGCCATCTGTGTGTTCTGGAGAATCACATAACGGACGATCGTCATTATTATTATTATGCCGTTTAAACCAATTATTTACATTTGTAAATGGGTGGGGCCTCACCATCAGGCCACGTCGTCACCTTCAACACTGTCACGTCACTCTTCTTTGTTATCATATCCTTCTCTCAATTCTGTCACCTGTGCTTGGATTTGTTGGAATTGGTGCTGCATATGTCTCCATCTCTGCTCTTGGGGCGTGGCCTCTTTCTCCAACTGCTGATCTCTGGAAGCATGGGAGCGGACAAGAGATTTCACCATGCTTGTCAACTCCTCCATGTCATCAGGTGTTCTGGCTGCCGCGGCCCCCTGCTGGTCAGGATGGAGGCAAAGAGGAGAACACAAGACCGAATGGCGTTTCAAGATACTAATCTCTGCGCCCCTCCTCCCCCCCCCCCCCCCCAGGTTCACTCTGACAGCACAGAGTCTGTTCCAGATGAAGCGTCAGCTGGACAAACTGGCCGATCTGATCGTGAAGGTCACCTACGAGAGTGACCCGATCCCTCTGCAGAAACCTCAGATGGAGGAGCGAGTCAAATACCTCATCTATCACCTGATCAAGAGGTAACCTTAACACCACACAAGGTACCACTCAACACACCTAAAGGATGTACCCTTACTGAAAAAGGCAACCATACAGTGCAAGATAATGCAGATAGATATTTTCTCTTTTAGTGTCCTTGAACCCTTCTTATGTTTTAAGCGCTTTGAGCACTATTATTATTATTATTATTATTATTATTATTATTATTATTATCATTATCATTATCATTATTATTATTATTATTATTATGTGTTTGGATCATGACTGGTGTTCTCTGCTGTTGCTAATACCCCTTTCACACCAACGCAACTCCGGTTCAAGCTCCGTGCTAGAGCTTTTCTGGTTCAGAACCGGTACTTCGGTTTAGCTCCGGCTCTTTTCACACCGCTCAGAGACCGACTGGTGCTGCCGCTGCTGCGTCATGACGTCACAGTTTACGTCGCTGATTTTCTCCCCAACGGAGCTCACCTCACAACAACAACGGGCCGGGGACTGCGTTGCTTTTAATCATACGAAGCCAGATTAAATTAAATAACGACTTCTCCAACCTTATACTTTTCTCCAGAGTGCCGTGGTTCATTGTTTATTAATGTGTTTCAGCGGCATTTACCGACCGCTGCAGTGCTGGCCGGCTGCTCTTCCACGAGTGTATTCTCCCGTTAGCTCCGGGTTAGCTCACACGGCTCTAAAGTATTCACTGTCTGACTGTCACACAAGCAGCTGATACATATCCCCAGTTCCCCTTAAGTGAATGTGTGTCAGTCTGAATTGACGCTGTTTGGCATCACAACGCTGTTATGAAAGTTTCTCTGGTATAACATGGGTGATGTTAGCATAGCAACCGAAGCTAATGTGACTATATTGACTGATGGTTATCATATTGTGGCATTAGCCGTTTTCTACAGGCACATTTTACCGGCTTATTTTTCTTTATGATTTAACTTGTGTAGCCTGCCAGCGGGTGACTGACTTCACCCGCTGATATAATAAAAAAACAACAGGAAATCGTATGAGGCAGTGTGTTGATCTTCAAGACGGGAAATAACAGAGACTACTTGCTAAGCCGTTTTCTACAGGCACTTTTTACCGGCGTATTTTTCATTATGATTCTACTTGTGATAGTCGGACATGACAACCTGTGCAGCCCATGTATTGATTCCATCCGATAGCTGCTATAATAACAAACAAAACGTCTGCCTGCTCTCCACAATGACCAATAACAGCGAACAGATGGTCAAAGTAAGGTACAAATAAACAGAATCACACGAAGCCTGGTTAGTGTTGCCTGACTTTATAAAGCGTGTTTTTTTTTTACAAGTGTGTGGTTGCGTTCTAGTCACTTTGCTCAGCACTACTGCTTGTTACAACTTTTATTTGCCGTACTCGCCTTTAACTGTTAGCTCAGGTTAATCTCGCCCCCCTCCGACGTAAGCGTGACATATGCGGTTCTTGCTTCTAGACGGACAACTTTTTGGTGCTCGAAACGAACCGGATTCCGGAGCTTAGAGGCTGCTCCGCTGCGGTGTGAACAGGAAAACCCGGTGCTTTTCAAGCACCAGCACCGAACCGGCCCCGAAACACCGTTGGTGTGAATGGGGTATAGAGACCTTTCATTGTGTATAATGATGTAGATTGTATACAATAGGCCCCACATGCAAAAGGCCCCAGCATCTCTCCTACCTTTTTGCCAAGAGCCACAGACGTTATAGTTATTTTTACACTTTTTTCATTTATTGATATGTTGTGTGCATAGTATGTATTTTTTGCTCATATTGTGTCTCTTTGTGTTCATAGTATGTTTTTCTGTCCCATTTTTTCTACCTTCGTAGTGATGTATTGTGTTTTTTGTTCATTCTGTCTCATTGTTGTCCTTTTGTGCCTCTTTGTGGTCATCTTCTGATTCTTTAGGCACTTTTTTGTGTCGCTGTTGTCATAGTGTGTCTTCTTTGGCCATTTTATATCTCTCTGGTTGTTTTGCCCATTTTGTGTTACTTAAGTCTTCTTGGTCATGTTGTGTCTCTATGTAATCGTTTGGTTTTATAGCTTGAAAGTTGAATTGCTTTTTGTCATGTGCAAATACATACAGATTGTACTTGAAACACTGATATGTACTGTACGAAAAACCTCCTCTTTAACTAGCAGCACCAACAACACATTACACAATACAGGCCTAGTGAGGTGCTAAATACAGGCCCAGCACACACAACCATCGAATGACCCCAGCTGCTGTGAAGTGAAGGGTGAAACTCTGCAATGACTGTGGTTTGTTCTCAGCTCGTTTGTGGTGGAGAAGCAGCCATGCATGCCCACACATCCCCAGAAACCCCTCATCATCAAGACTGGCGTGCAATTCACCACCAAAGTCAGGTTTGTGACACAAAACACTCTGATGATGATTTTTGAAACTCTGAATTATTGTGCTTGTAAGGTCAATTGAAGTGTTCCAATGTCCTATATTCTGGTTGCCAGCAGGTGAGGAGTAAGAGTGATCTTTCGCAGACAAACACAGATGATTTCCGGTGGTTGGATGCAGTTTGATGTTTATTAAAGAGTGTACAGTACCCTGGGTTGAGTGTTTGTAGCTGTTAGCATCTGCGGCGTCTGGTTAGATCAGTGTGCTCTGCTCTCTTTCTGGATTCTGTGCTCTTTCCGGTCACCTGTGACCCTGTTTATACACCCTGTGCAGCTAACCCCCGTCACCAAGTGTTCAAAATGATATTGCATTATAAATATAAACAAAATAAACTGACATGCCAACAATACACATAAATGGCTCCTTCAGTGCTATTTCACTCCTGTTTTAACATCTGTCTTATTTGTGTAGTAATGTTGAATGATAACTCAGTTCTTTTTCTCTGTTTCTTCTTCCAGACTCCTGGTTAAACTTCCAGAAGTGGATTATCAGCTGAAAGTCAAAACAATATTTGACAAGTGAGATTTTTGGCCCAAAGTTTTTAAACTGGTTTGCATTTCCAGGAGATGAAAAATCCTTAAATAAACAAAGGTGTATATTAAAAACGTAATAAAAATGTGTTCACACACACTTGTCAAAACGCAAATCTCTGTGTGTTTTTGTGTGTCTCTAGGGACCTACCCCCCGGCAGAGTGTGAGTACAAACAAGCTGAAGACAGGAAGTACTGCTGATGTTACATTTAAACATATTCTCCAAACATTATACAACATCACTTTACATTACATTGCATTTACTTTACTGCTTCCAGAATGAGTTTCATTGCAGAATGCTACATATCAATTAAGAGGAAAGTTATTTTTAAAGGTGAAATTCTTTTGCAACCTGCGACATAAACATAAACATTACAATAAATCTTTCTTTACGTTTTTTCTGTTTTGATTCATCAAAATACCTTGAAAATATATCAATCCTTGAAGCAGGTGCTTTAGTTGTTAACATTCTACAGCTGAGTATTGATGTGCTCAGACAATTATTCTCCTATCAGTTGCATTTGTATCATATAAAAACAGCCAGCATAGATACAAATGTGACAAACCCACGAGGCCTCTTTGTTTTACCTTCTTGTTCTCCTCAGAAGTCGTCAGTTTTTCATCCTGACCAACAACACTAAAGTTATGGACATCGAGGACTACTCAAACGGCTGCCTCTCAGTGGAGTTCAGACATCTGGTAATACAATTCATGCTTGTGTCATTTATTACCAGAACATGTGACCATTAACCATTTCTGTCGGTTTGAAAAAAATATCCTGTAAGTCTTTTTGAAACATTTAAAAGTCATTATTTTAGAAAACAAACTTTGTTTTTGAGAGATATTATATGTTGACAATAATTCTCAGTATTTTGAGATACTGAGTCATTACTTTAGATAATATGTCATTACATTGACCTACAGAGTGGTATTCTTCATCACTAGACTATGATTTGATCTTATTTATGTTATTTTACAGACAGAAATGGGCAAATGTTCACTTACACATGGATATGACATTAACCAGTTTGTCAAAGTGGTGATTTGTTGAATTTCTGTTTTGTTTCCTTTCACTAACAGCAGCTGAAAGAGAAGAAATATATCAATGGCACAAAGGGGAACGAGGTACGACATGCGGATGAGTTGATCATTAATGTATTAACTCATTTCTGGGTTCAGGACTCATTCCTACACCACTATTTTGAGCCTGTGCATTATCCCTGAACACAAATAAGTGCATGTAATACTATTGTTGTCTAAATATACTTTTATTATTGCAAAAGTGTTGTCCCTAATGAGGGATATGCTGTGTGGATGTGTGTTGTGTGTTCGCAGGGCCTCCTCTCTGTGACAGAGGAACTTCACTCTCTCAGTTTCGAGGCGTGCTTCACAGTGCAGGGCCTCACCATAGATCTGGAGGTCAGGAGCACTGTACATATGACTGGATATTCGGCTCCTTGTTGTTGGTACCCAGCTCACTCATTGTGTATGTGAATCCTTCCAGACATGTTCCCTGCCTCTGGTGGTCATCTCCAATGTGAGCCAGCTGCCTGGGGGCTGGGCGTCCGTCATGTGGTATAACCTTCTGACTGATGAGCCCAGGGTGAGCTGACACACTGTTGCTGATGTGTTTAAAAGTGGATAGTGCTGCTTCTATCCCTCAGTTGCCAGTTAATTAGGTACACCTAGCTAAACCAATGTTGTCTAATACAACAGTCCTGCAATATTCTCTACCTTCATGAAGGTTCAGAATTTGTTAAACCCTTGTGTCTCACTTAACAGTCAAAATGACTAAATATGTAGTGGTTATGATCAGGACTAATGTTAAAAAGCAGTACTCGGTGCAAGTAGAAAATAATATATATATGTAAGCTGTAGTGTAAGAATTTTGACACAGACGTTATTGTCCTCTAAGGAACTTAGAGCTAAAAGGGTTAGGGTTAAACTGTTTTAGAAAGCAGTTGATTAATCTTTTATGATCATTTTTAGAGGATTTATTGTATGGTACAGTTGAACAGGGCTCTCGACACACATCCCAACTACTCCACTTTTACCTTTTTCCCACCTCTTTCCTATAATCCACAGAACTTGGCGTTCTTTGGAAACCCCCCTCGGGCCACCTGGAGCCAGCTCTCTGAGGTCCTCAGCTGGCAATTCTCAACCTTCGCTGGTAAAGGCCTCAACAAGGAGCAGCTCAGCATGCTGGGAGGAAAGCTTCTCGGTATGTCTGCCCTACAGCTTTCAAACAACATATTTGTACTGTATATTTCGAAATCTAGATTTTGGGATAACACATGTTTCAGGTGGCATTTGAAGGGGCCCTTTTCTGATGTTGTGGTGTTCCCTCTCCTGTAGTGTGTTATATTGTTTTTTGTGCATGTTAATGTTCTAGGCTAAAATCCCTGTGTTCCCTCTAGAGCGAGTTTCTCCCCCCTGCCTAAAAAAGCCTCCATTGGACTCCTTTGTTTACTTCCGTATATTGACATCACTATGTGTCACATCCTTTGTGACTGGCTAAGGGGCGGGACATCGCTATGCGGTTGACCAATCACAACAGAGCCGGCCAGCTAACCAATCAGAGCAGACTGGGCTCTGGTTTCAGACAGAGGGTGAAAAGAGGTGCTGCAACACAGGCAGTATGAGAAAAATAAAGAGCTTTTTGAACATTAAAGCATGGAGACATGTCCCAGTAGAGACACTGAATACTAATATCAACCTGATATGATCAGAATAGCGCCCCTTTTTACCACACAAGTTAATGTTGGCATTATAGCTGTTAGTCTTTGCAGGCTCACGGGTGTTGGGTAGTAGTCATTCATGTTGTTTACTGTATGTTGTTGTAGGCCAGCATGCCTCCTGTAGTGACTATCAAGTATCCTGGTCCAAGTTGTCCAAGGTAAGTGTTCAATTCCTCATGTACCATGTGGTTTCATCTCCAATATGGTGGTGCCAACTAGTGGCCCATGGGATAGAATTATCTGTGCCCCATGCTGTTTCGATGACCCTGGACATTTTTCTACATTCCATTTCATATATGTTACATCTCTTAAGTCATGTTTTAATGTCCAAAGAACTCATTGTACCCCTTCAATGTGTCGAACATTCTTTAAGGAGAATATTCCAGGAAAGCCATTCAGTTTCTGGATGTGGCTGGACTCCATCCTAGAGCTCATCAAGAAGCATTTGCTGCCCGTCTGGAATGAGAAGTAAGACCCTGGGTCACCCCAGACTCACTGTCAACCCCCCCTCCTCCCCCCAACTAAAAAGTGGTAGAAGAAGCAGGAAATAATATTGTTGTTCTTTTCCCTTGCGCCATCCATACAGCTATATCATGGGTTTTGTGAGTAAAGAGATGGAGCGCACTCTGCTGAAGGACAAAGAGCCAGGCACATTCCTCCTACGCTTCAGTGAGAGCCACCTTGGAGGAATAACTTTCACCTGGGTGCAGCACGGCGACAATGGTGAGGAAAAACCCATGCACTTAGCTCTTGAAAGTTTCTCTTACATAGTTCCTGTTTTCTTTATTGATGCTCCGCTATGCTAACACTGTCTTTTCACAACAGGAGAGGTTAAATTCAACTCTGTGGAGCCATACACCAAAAATCGGCTTAGCGCCCTACCATTTGCCGACATCATTCGAGACTACAAAGTGATCTCAGAGGGGGTGGTCCCAGAGAACCCGCTCAAGTTCCTCTACCCCGACATTCCCAAAGATGAAGCCTTCGGACGGCTTTACAACATTCAGCCAAGCAAAGGCAAGAGTGCAAACCATTCATGTTTCTCAGTGGTTGATTTAAATCACTAACACTAATCTCTCTCGTATCTCTCTTATCTTCCAGTCCATCCATACATAACATCTACCCTGATCCCAATCTCACAATTGCGGTGAGTTCATTGAGAGATTTATACATTTTTGATCATCAATTTTACCCTGACGTGTAGTTATCAGACTTAAGATGATGACTATGGGATATTGAGTGTGCTATCAAATCAACCAACAGCAGAATTACACAACTGAAAAGGATCTAGAAAATGCTATAATATCACAGAAGCAGCCTCACTGTCTCTGGACTCACTTGTCTTCTCTGCCTTTCGCTGTGATTGCAGCTCTAATACCACCACCACACCCTCCTCCTGTCAGTCTCCTGAGCCCCCGATGACTCCTGGGGAGTTTGACATGCTCAGTGAGCACCTATGCTTCGACATTAACAGCGTAAGTTTGCCATTATTTGCTATTTGGTGGACTGTACCTGTTGGGGAAATATTTTCCTGGGCCCATAACTTTGACTTAGTTTATCAGGTTATACTGTTCTGACTGAGCACAGGCAGCTGCAGCCTTGGGGGCTGTGCTCTCAGTGTGTTGTCTCCCTGTTCCTGCCTGTTGGCGTCAGCTGATAGAGTTGTTATGGTTCTATCTTGTTATGCACAATGTTGATTTTTCTCTCAGAACTAGCTAAGGGGTAGAGATCTTCAGAATTGGTTTGGCATCCGCTGTGTCAACTCGTGGCACACGATATGTCTTGTGAATTCTTCCGGCCGAAGCTCCAAATAAACCGTCAGTGTTTGCCATCTTATGGCGCGTTTCCACTACAGCGCGGAGCATGGTTTAAGAGGGCTGTGACGTCAGCGGCCCGTCTTTGGTTGCGTTTCCACTTGGCCTAGTACCGGCCGCCGGGTCCTAATTCACAGTTTTTCTGGCCTCATAAAATCGCGGGTCTAGGGCCAGAGACAACGAGGCTGAGTCGGGCTGAGTATGCTAAACTAGAGAGAGCATCGCTGGCAAGGGGGCTACAACTACAACAAGATGGACATATTTGACCGTGATTTAATTGTAATACACGTTTCAAAATGATGCCGAAGTAACAACATACTGATACCAGTTAGTAAAAACCATGAATTAATGCTTTGTCAAGTCTGCAGACAGACGGCAGGCGAAAAACCTTTTAAAATGCGTGTTTTCTAAATGGAGATTGGCTAAGCTAACGCAGTATATGCTCCGACCGTCCACACTCACAACAACGGCCTATACAGACATAAATAAAGCAGCGACTGTATTCACCATGACACAGGCAGTCTGTGGTTTGTACTTGTTTAACTTTTGTCTAGTTTCTGAACATATATGAGGAGCTGTGAGCTCTGAGTGCTAACAGCTAACGGCTGTGTTGTTTTTCTGGGGTTCTCATTGAAGATCACGTCACGGCTCCGCCTACACTGCGTTACTATAGATACTACCCCAGTTCCTAAACTGTAATGGAAATGCGCCATAAAGTGAGCCAGTCCTAACGAGGCCCAGCCATACCGAGCGGGGCCGAGCGAGGCCGTGTAGTGGAAACGCGCCAAAAGTTCCTGCTCTCCCGGTGTCTCTCTGAGTTTCGTCTCCAATGCTTCAGAAGTTTCCATCACAGTACCACTGTACTTTTTGTTAATCAAACCTATGTGAAGACCAACACCAACAATGCTGCAGGTCTCCCTTGAAAAAGAGATCTATGATCTCAATTGGACCAATCTGGTTAAATAAAGGTTTGAAATGAAATGAAATGCATTGATCCATATGGACAAGTATCACGTTTGTACGAAAGCCTGATACATCTTCTTCCCCTGTGCTTTAATGCTCCAATGTTGTGCAAAACTTAAAAAAATACCTTACAAATTAGTCGCCGTCCTTGCGCTGAAATATTCACCAGCACGCCAAATATGTATTTGTATTATTCAAAACTCATAATAGTCCCTAACCAAAGCACTATCTATATCAGGGGCGACGCCAGGCGGTAGCTTGGAGTTGCTACAGCAACACCAACATTTGGCCTAGCAACTGCTAAGCAACCCCAAGAAATGTATTTTTTTTTTATATATATATATATATATGTGAAATTCATAATTTGAAAATGTATTGATTCGAAAATGATATGCTACAGTACAGTACAAGTACTTCTGGGTGTTTCATTCAAGCTCGGCTCTGTGTGTGTGGCACGAGCGCACAAGTGAGCGAGCGAGAGAGAGAGCACCGGTACCGGAGATTGTTGTTGTTAGCATCTGGTTAGCTAGCTACGCTAACGGATATTAGAAGCTGTTTCTACAACAAAGTGAAGGGAAAGTCCTCTCCTGTCAGATAACGTCAGCTCAGTGAGGTAAAGGAGTCTCTCAGTGTTTAGATAGTTCACTTTAGTCTAAGTTATTCAGTTATTCAGGTCTCAAACTGTTTGATCTCCATTTATGTAAACAAGTATTTCCAAGGCACGACTTTATATGATCATTATAGTTCAAAAATAACAGAATAAATGAAAAACGAATAAAGTTTAAAAGGGGAGTGATTAGTAAAATATCCATAAAGAAAAAGAAAATCTGTTTACAGTTCTGTTTCATATGGGTGTTGAGAGCTGGATCCATAGATCTCTTCATGTTGCTCTCAAAGTGCACCAGATTGATGCTTTTAACTTCAATATTTAAAAAGATAATCTTCCCGACCCCCCTAGGACATTAGGTCCACCCTCCACTTGTAAAAAACAGCACTTTACCTCTGCTTACACCTATATGCCGTGAGCTGATTATTGAGCCTTCATTGTAACAGTCGCGGGTACACTGTGTGTGTGTGTGTGTGTGTGTGTGTGTGTGTGTGTGTGTGTGTGTGTGTGTGTGTGTGTGTGTGTGTGTGTGTGTGTGTGTGTGTGTGTGTGTGTGTGTGGGGAGTGTTGCAGTAGAAAATTCCACTGTAGCGCCCGGTACATTAATGGGAAACCCTACATGTTTGAGCACCCTCTATGAAACGTCAAGCTACCCCACAGCACCCCCAAAAGAAAATCTCTGGCGCCGCCCATGATCTATATCAACACAGTCTCACGGCATTTCGTGTTATAGTCACGAAATGAATCTATTGATTCGTGTTCACCAACACGATTTCGCAATTTTTTTCGTGTCACACAGAACGATTTTAAAAGCAATGTAAATAATAACAAATTAGAAGGAAAAAGACATTTAAAAAAATACAGATTTAAGTATTCTGACACAGAACGATTTTAGAAGCAATGTATTTATATTGGTAGTATGTTTCGTGCCTGCACCAAATAATAACAAATTAGAAGGAAAAAAAGATGACATAAAATACAGATGTCAGTATTCTGAGGCTCTGAGACATTTCTTTTCCTCGCGGACGGCAAAAAAACTCAGACATTATACAATTTAAAATAAAAGGGATAGGGTTAGGCTTAGGGTAAGATATTGAGTAAGAACATGTTTTTATGAACCACACAGCTTCTGGTCTTCCAAGACCCGACCGGACAAAAAGACGTGTTGCAGGCACGAAACATACTACCAATAGAAATACATTGCATTTAAAATCGTTCTGTGTGACACGAAAAAAATGTGAAAATCGTGTTGGTGAACACGAATCAATAGATTAAATTAATTTCGTGACTAATAACACGAAATGCCGTGAGACTGGGTTGCTATATAGACTCGTTTTGAATGAACATTTGAAGGTCACCTAGCTGTGCGGCCGTTGCTGATTGTTTATCAAGAATGACACAATATGTCTCTAATCTCTACATTTTGAAAGATGTATTTCTTAAACTGAGTGAGAGCCGCAGACAGGGAAGGTCATCCGAAAAATGTGTATAGACGAGTCCTCTATGTTCTGCTGCTGGTAATGTTCTCCTTTTCCTTTTACAGATGAGCTCTCCATATTCAGAGTAAGGCGAGGGGAAATATGTAACTCCCAACCGAGTTTTATACTCATCTGATGCCACTGCCCGATCAACGTCTACATCTTTGTTGGCTGTGTTTATTTTGTGGTAAAATTAGATTCATAGCTTGAACTATTGTTTACTGCTTTTTTTATATTCATAATTGTTCTTTAAAAAATGATCTGTTTCTATTGTGACAACTCAATTATAAATTATATTTTAACAGTATATTAAAAAAAAGAACACATGTTTATTGTGTCTGCTTTGTACTATGTTATGACATTGGCTTCTTTATTTCTGCATTTGTAGCAACACTTTCTCTTTAGCCATACGTTTGCCTGTGTTGCATACAACACTCACCCATATTCATCATTCAATTGTGTAGAAGGAAACCGGTTTAGCTCATATTTTCAAGCAGAACCAGTTGCAACTCACCACAAACCGTTTATCGAGATTTGCCCAGATTTAATTGTTTTAATTAGGATCAAAAAGATCTTGCCAAGTCAGTATTTCAAAACTAAAAAGGCTTAATCTGATGCAGATCATACATTTCTAACGGCAGGATACACATGGAGACCGTTTTAAACATTTAGGTTAACTAAACACATTGAATTAAATGAGGAAACATACAGAGAGAAAATAAACTGTAATTCATCTTTAAAGATCATGTAATATGCAATATTCTATATGGGAATGATGGTTACTTATGGTTAATTATTTTCTAATTTATGGTTAGCAAATTTCTGTTTGCTTATGGATTAAGCAACCTAAATGTTCAAAGATATATTATAAGACAAGAAATCTTGTGAAATCATGTTGGCCGTCCCTGGCCAACATGAGGCCCCACGCAAAGTTCTATGATGAGGCCCTCTGTTTCGCGAGCGTCGACGAAACAAGAAAAGGACCATGGGATTACATTTTATTCTTTTAAACTAACAGGGAAACGAGGGAGACGTAGCAAACATCAGCAGGAGAGGCTGAATGTCAGCCATCTGCTAAACCACAGTAACACAAACTACTACACTGGGAATAGGATTTAAAACATGAAATATGGCAGTATACGTACATATACATGGAGATGAATTATCAATAATGGGATGATGTTTTGAAGCCCTCAGTTAGCATAGCTGTCTTGTCTCTGTCGGGATGACTATAGTTGTCATTAAACCTGTAGATGTCATTTATTATATTATAACGCTGTTTCTGACTAGTGCTTCTCTTTGTAAGGGTGTTTATATTTGTGCGTATACTTAATTCATTTTGGATGCAAATCCGCTGATAGATGAGCGGTGGGTATTGTCCACAGTAATGACTGTTACATGTCTGATATGTGTAATGTGTATTTGTAAAGCGCTTTGAGCACCTGGAAAAGCACTATAATAAAAATGTAATGAATTATTATTATTATTATTATATTGATGAATGTTGCTATTGCTATAGAAGCTATCCTCCACAGATGGCCACGCACACCACAGTGCACAGCAGCTCCCACTCCAATCACATGAAAGTGGTATTAGGCGCGTTCACACCAAGTACTTTGCAGTACTTAGTTCCGGCACTCAGTGCCCCGGCACTTTTTACCCCAGGGCACTAAGTACCAATCGCGTTCACACCGGAGTACTTTTCCCTGAGGGAAGATTACGCAAATGAGTCGCTGACGTCACTTCTTCTTCTTCTGCTTTGGCTTTACTGGCAGGCCACAAACCACTTCACGGCGAGTACAGTAGGTGGCGGTATGCACCTTAAAGTTGTTTGCAATCCGCTACAAAAACAAGAGAAGAAGAAGAAGAAAAACTTCCCGCGTATACTGCGACGCCCACCCACTCGCTGTACATTAGGCGTCTGTTGTTTACCTTCCGACCTCAGACATGATGGAGATGGAGTCGACTGAAGTTGTGCTGTTTGTGCTCATGTTATACAGCTTTGTAACTGAGTTAATGCAGCCTGAGCAACTTGCGTACAATAACAAAACAAGCCGAGCACGAGTGGTGGTGGAGAACGCTTTTGGCAGACTGAAGGGCAGGTGGCGGTGCTTGATGAAAAGAAACGACTGCAAGATGGACAAGATCAAAATCCAGGTGGCAGCATGTTGCATATTACATAACCTTTGTGAAAGTAATGATGAGTACAGGGACGAATGGACTGCCTTACCGGCGACCCAGCTTGATGGGCCAGCCATTGCCGAGGCTGGGGGGCAAGACACGCGCACAGCCCTTATGAGGCATCTGAACAGCGTGTAAATTGTAAATTGTAAACATTTTGACAATAAAGCTGATCTTTTATACAGTGCTTTTGTTTCTCTCTTTTATTTTCCAGTCAAGACAGGCAACATTACAATAGTGTACAGTGTGGCAATATAATAACAATAAACTGTGCCAGGTGTGTTGTATGCACAGTAAATAGGCTCAGCAGCAAACCCACCTTTATTATTATTTATTATATATCTTCCTGAGACCCACTGCATCCGTCTGCCATAAACACTATGGAAACCTACATGTTAGTTTTGGCCCATAGTGGACTCCATTTTGTGTTGTGTAAAATGGGGGAGGAATTAAAAGTTTGCAAATCCCCATGTCCTCCTCAGAGGACATTCATAAAAACATTTAGTTTTAGGTCAAATAATATTTAAAATGATATAAATTATCATATTTGTGTATGTGCCCCTGCCATTCCCCCACAAGGTTGCAACATTGATGATAAATAAATGACAAATAAAGCTTCGCCAGTTTATAACCGATGAAACATGATGGTATCAGAATAATCACTTACATGTGATGTATAGGATGCTACACGGGTCACTAAAGATAAAGTGTCAGGAGAAATAAGCAAGATACAGGATCTGTTTAATCGCCATGTAGGTTCTCTTTATTGCACTCTCAAGACATAACAGTAAATAGAAGTTCACATTTTTGTACATGTAAGTTAACATTATCAATATAAAATAAAGTGTCAGTTGTATCAAGACTATATAATAACAGTAATAACAATAATATAAAATAAACTGTCCCAGGTGTAGGGATAGGCTCAGCAGCATACACACCTGAGTGCAAAGTTGTGTGTCAGTATTAATAAAAACAATACAAAATGAACTGTCCCAGGTGTAGGGATAGGCTCAGCAGCAGACATTGTTAACAGTGGCAACTATAGGGAGGAAGACCTGTTGGCTTTCACTAGCTGGGAAAGCACTTCCAGAAACCCATTCTGAAAAGTGGTTTGTCGCTCATCCTGCACCGACACTTCATCCTGGTGCTCCTGGCGCTCCATCTGCCGCTTCAACACTTCAGCCTGGCGCCCCATCATCGTGAGCATCTTGTCCTCCGGTTTCCTGGGCCTTGGTTAACAGCACCATCTGATCCCCGTGCATCGAGTCTTTCACCACGGCACGCCGGTCCTCCAACGCCTCGACGGTGTCAAAGAAATTCACATCCCGTGCCCGCTTTCCTAAGAGGGAAAATAAGCAAGATACAAGATCTGTTTAGTCGCCATGTAGTTTTACAACATACTAGGAATGTGTTTACTAGTCAACATTGGACAGGGTGCAGGCCGGGACAAGACAGTGTACACAATGCAGGTGTATAGTAGAAGATAATGGAGGATCAAATAGCACAAAATATATATATATATATATATACCAACCCAGTCTCACGGCATTTTGTGTTATTAGTCACGAAATTAATTTAATCTATTGATTCGTGTTCACCAACACGATTTTCACATTTTTTTCGTGTCACACAGAACGATTTTAAATGCAATGTATTTCTATTGGTAGTATGTTTCGTGCCTGCAACACGTCTTTTTGTCCGGTTGGGTCTTGGAAGACCAGAAGCTGTGTGGTTTATAAAAACATGTTCTTACTCAATATCTTACCCTAAGCCTAACCCTATCCCTTTTATTTGAAATTGTATAATGTCTGAGTTTTTTTGCCGTCAGTGTGGAAAATAAATGGTTCAGAGCCTCAGAATACTGAAATCTGTATTTTATGTCATCTTTTTTTCCTTCTAATTTGTTATTATTTGGTGCAGGCACGAAACATACTACCAATATAAATACATTGCTTCTAAAATCGTTCTGTGTCAGAATACTTAATTAAATCTGTATTTTTTCAAATGTGTTTTTCCTTCTAATTTGTTATTATTTACATTGCTTTTAAAATCGTTCTGTGTGACACGAAAAAAATGGCGAAATCGTGTTGGTGAACACGAATCAATAGATTAATTTCGTGACTATAACACGAAATGCCCTGAGACTGTGTTGTATATACACACACACACTGAGTGTCTTTATTTATTGTTTTGTATTTTTGAAGAGTGCTTCATGTATGCTTGAAATTTGTTTAATGTTGTTGAGGCAAGTTTTCTTACCGGAAGTCATGTGACCTCTAGCTCGGATGTTTACAATGTTTGTGAGAGAGTAAAAACGGCGCGAAAATTTGTAAACGCCGGTCTAGGCGAATACGTTTTCACGCTGTTTCATAATTGTACCAAGAAGGAAATAAACGTGATTGTGAACATCAGTTCGATGCGTAACGTTCTTTCAAGACCAAGTTACAGTGTGTGTACCTTTGCGTTTGGTTGCTGGTAAGGGGGACGAGCAAGCGCTGTGATCTGGAAGGGAAAGCTCGCTTGTTTCCAATCCCGAGAGTTGTCCAGCCTCGCCTGAAACACACGATTAGTGCCATGAGTTAGTGAAGCAAATTACAGAAACACTGCACAGTTATTCACAAGTCAAAACGTTTTCATAGCGGCCGAGAATATCTAGCTAGCTAGATGTTATTAGCTAGCTCGGGGCCGGTGTTAGCCAGTTCAGCCTAGCATGGCTAGCTTGATCTACTGAGCAAATAAAAGTACATCTGAGACCATTATTGTGCAGATTAAAACCCCAGTGCATGTAGTTGATTTGACCTTCGTCGTGGTCGTCATCGTTGGCCACTGAATCCGCCGTTTGAGCGGCCTCCCACACCATCGTGCCCGAATCGAAGGTCGATGCTGTCCCGGAGAAAAGGTCTGTGGCCTAGCAGAGCATCCAAGCGCTCGTACCATTTACTGGTCTTCCGGTCGTTACCACTCTTGTTATAATAGTCTTTAATTTGTTTGTAGTCCTGCCTGAGTTTCTTTATTTTTAGCCGGTGTGCCGTGGGGCTGTGCACGATTCCCAGGTCGAGTGAATGCTACTGAACTGGCTTCAGTAGCATTCCCTGGGTCGCGTCCTCGGCGTAGATTTCCAGAAGCGCCGACACCTCCTCATCACTCCACCGCTTCGATTATTTATTGATGC